TATATATAAGTATCTACATTTGTGTTCACCATAGTGAACCACTAAGCTGGTATGGTGAGTGCAGTCAATAACCATATGGTGGCCACACACAGTCAGAAGATGACCCCACAACCCTCCCTCTACAGCCTTACTCCTCCCTCCTTGGAGCACAGCGCTAAATATCACCACAATCCTGCTATTATCAGAATCCTGGTCAGTTTTATCACAGTCAGGGGGCTTCAGTAATACTATCACTGCTAAATAATAGCAGTATCATATATATTATGGCATTTGTAGGCGATGCTGTGGTCACAAGCTGAACAGCGGTGCTGTGAGCTCGTGCTGCGTGCGCCAGCCTTGGTGGCTTGCTCAATACTGACGCTCTAACACCCAAGAATGTTGGCCTGGATTTTTTTTCTAGGTGGCATCTGGCAACTATCGGTCATGGCTGTACTATAGCTGCCCCTATCCCAGGCGGGGCGTTTAAATTATAGCGCTAGACACGAAATCATATATATATGATGTGCGCAGTTTCGGTTTTGTCACTGATATCATATATATATGATTTGCGCGGTTTAAGGGTTAAGAGAACCAAAGAGCTGATCATACAATAGGCCAATGAACACAGAAGGCAAGCTAAACTTGATTCTTATATGGTAAGAAAATAAAGCCAAGCGCCTTCAACCAGTGAGGCCTCACAGGCAAGCCAAGTGCCTTCAACAAATGAGGCGTCACAGGCAAGCCAAGCGCCTTCAACAAGTGAGGCGTCACAGGCAAGCCAAGCGCCTTCAACAAGTGAGGCGTCACAGGCAAGCCAAGCGCCTTCAACAAATGAGGCGTCACAGGCAAGCCAAGCGCCTTCAACAAGTGAGGCGTCACAGGCAAGCCAAGCGCCTTCAACAAATGAGGCACCACAGGCAAGCCAAGCACCTTCAACAAGTGAGGCGTCACAGGCAACCCAAGTGCCTTCAACCAGTGAGACTTCAGCAGCTGGCAGTCAAAACTAACTTTGCTTAATGAACCGTACAGTAATTTTAAGTGTTAATTTTAGTGTTAGTATAGGCTACGTAAATTGTCAAGAATTCTTAAGTATCCACTCAATTTAACGGCCTCTTTTATACCGATCTGCCGGTAATAAAGACCAGTTTGGGAGACCGGTATCTGGAGCCTCGTATACCGATCTGGCGGTCGATACTACCGACGGTCGGTATTGGGTTTGTTGTGGCATCAGCGTCCCCTCACATGGCGACCAGACCACTGATCTCGATCATCCAGAGTCGTATATTACATCTTAATTTTCTTTTAAAATGATTCAGTTTAATGAAGAAAATTCTAAATTATTATTAATAAAATATTTTGAAACTGTTGTTAAGCAAAAGTCTTTGTTTTTTTATTAAATACCTTTTATAGTATAGGCATTAGGTATTTTTTTTCCCACGGACCTAGAATGTACTGCGCCGGGCCAGGTGTTCCCATTCTTAACTGTGAACTCGTGCGGCTAGCTTCAATTGTGAAGGACATTACTATACTGTACTGTTAATTGTGATCTTCCTTTTAATTTACAAAATGCCAAAAGTTACCCAAAGGAAGCGCCTGACAGTTGCACAAAAGCTGGAGTTAATTAAGAAACTTGATAAAGGATATTCTCATGCACGAGCAGCAGCAGAGTTTAACATCGGGAAAAGTACAGTAAGTGACATCAAGAAACAGAAGGATACTCTATTAAAATATGTGAGCACAACAGAGTGTGCTACTTCTGGTGCTGCATGTTCGAGAAAAACAGTAAAGTCTGGTCAGTATCCACAATTGGATGCTGCAGTGTATAAGTGGTTTATTCAGCACTGCACAATTGACATGGCAATACGATTTGAAGAGCTTAAAGTTGCAGCAAGTAAACTTGCCATTCAATTACGTATAAAAGATTTCAATGCAAGTGATGGGTGGGTTGGAAGATTTAAGGCTCGGCATAACATTTCAAACACCAAAAAAATTTCTGATGAGGCATCAAGTTCTGATCCCACTAATGTTGATTCATTCAAGGCTAAATTAAACGAGTACATTGTCAGTAATAATTTAGGCAAATATCAAGTATATAATGCTGACGAGACTGGGTTTATGTGGCGAGCTGTACCAAGTACATCCTTAACCAGTAGGATGCAGGAAAATATTCCTGGACGAAAGATAAGCAAGGAACGACTCTCAGTCTTGCTCTGTGCTAATGCTGATGCCTCTCACAGGACAAAATGTGCTGTGGTAGGCAAGTCTAAAAATCCTCGAGCCTTAAAAAATGTAATGCAGGCACTACCCGTAATATATTACAGTTCTAGGATATCATGGTTTAATCAAACAATATTTATGGACTGGTTTGAAAACCACTTTTGCAAAGAAGTTAGAGAATTCCAGATCAACAAATGTGGAATAAAGGCCAGTGAGGTTAAGGCATTGTTGCTGCTAGATAATGCCCCTGCTCATCCCATTAGCAAGTTAATTTCAAGGGATGGCAGAATAAAATGCATGGCACTTCCACCAAAAACAACATCTTTGATCCAGCCCATGGACCAAGGTGTTATCCTTGCTGCTAAATGTATGTACCAAACAGCAATGCTTGAAGATGTTTTAGTTGTTTTACCTAGGGAAGATGAATTGACAGGAAAGGATACAAGGGCTCAAAGAACACTAGAAAATCTAAAAAAGTACACAATCAGGGAATCAATATTCCACTGGGCTAGGCTTTGGAATAAAGTGAAAGAAACCACACTAACAAATTCATGGAAGAAACTGTTAACAGAGAGGCCTAGATGTGACGCAGCAGTATCTGATAGTGAATTCGAAGGTTTTGAAAATGAAGCCAATGATTTTGAAGGGTTTGAAGAAACGATCCGAACAATGTTGCTCCAAGCTGGTCAGGGTGTACAAGTGAATGATATCAATGAATGGTTAGAAAATGATTACGATCCTGGTTATGAATTGTTAACTGAAGAACAGTTAATGCTTAGTTAGTTAGTTAAAAGTGTTCTCGGAAATGACTGATGACTCTGATGATGACTTGGACAATGTTGGTGAGGCTCTGCCTAGAGGTGTCGGATATCAGAAAAGATTGGAACAAATTGAGGAACTCATTGAATATTCAAGAAAAAGTAAACATGAGGTTGTTGGAAATTTTTATGTACACTTTACAGGCTTTAAGCAATGTCTCAGAATGTTAGCCAGAGAAAATCAGATTCAGACAAAAATAGATAAATTCATGATTTCAACGGTTCGTGAAAATCTTTGTCGACAAGCCATGCTGCACCCGCCGATGCAGAATTCCCATCAACAAGTCGCACAGCATCCGCCGGCAACGAATGCTCTACAAGCCATGCTGCACCCGCCGATACTGAATTCCCATCGACAAGTCGTGGAGCATCCGCCGGCAACGAATGCTCTACAAGCCATGTTGCACCCGCCGATGCTGAATTTCCATCGACAAGTCGTGACAAGTCATCCATTAACGATATAAAATATGATTGAAAGGCATATAAATTAGTATAAAAAGTGTTGATAGAGTACAGTATTGTAAGTGTTAATGATTAATTAAGCCTTGACAAAAAGATACTGTACAGTGTAAATATAGTAGAAATAATTTTCAATAGTGAAGTAGAATTAGAACTCATGTGAATTAGTAGTAAGCCTAGCTGTTGTGTGAAGTGAATGTCTGAAAATAAGTGTACATACTGTATGTACCCTGTATACAATATAAACAATGTAAAACAAGTGCTGCAGAGGATGACGTAATCTTCATAGCTTTGTAATCTTCAGCTTCATTAAAAGTAAGTCAATTTACCAATTTTATTATAGTATTACAACATATTAATTATTTTTTTCAACAAAAGCTACATATTAGTCTCTGCAAATGTATATTCTATCGTTAGCAGAGAAAAGGTGAGCTCAAAATATTTCGTCTTGGCTAGCTCTCCGTTAGTGACAAGGCTCGATCGCCATTGTATGGCCTGGCTGCCACAGCCTGTGTCATAACATTAAAAATACATTACCTGCACTGTTCATGGTAAAACAAAACACATATCTAAAATTTTATTGAAAATATTAACAATCACTGATTGATACATGAAATATTTTGCAATACAAAGGAATGAACCAATTTTTTCCCACCCATCTGGACTTGATTAGACCGTGTTCACACATCATCCATGCAGCAGCCAACAGCTGGCTTAATCGTCGGCATGGCACTAAATTGGAACGCAATTACACAATGAACTTTATTTAATTTTAGTTATACAGTATAAAATATATCCTACCTGAATGTTACTTGAAAAATTACCCGACCCGACTTGACTTCAGAAATAACGGAGCTCCCGAAATAACGACCAAGGTACAGCCCCATATAGGCCATTAAATTGAGTGGATACTTTTAACCAGAATTCCCATGTCTATCTTTCCTTTTGCTTTTGGGGCGCTTACCAAATAACTCACAGGGGGGTGCCTGATCCGGTCGATGGCAGACATAGAATGCTTCCAACCACACTGGGGTTTCTATAGGCCATTGCTTCCCATGCCTCTAAGGGGGCCAGGCTCATGGTCCCCAGTAGGCCCTCAGAACTCCATACACATGACTGATGCCAATGTCTGACATTAGCATATCAGCCTGGATAAGCTCCGGGGAGCCTCCGGGTTTCACCCAGAAAATGGCGTTTCATTACATTCATCGCTGGTTTTTTTAGTATGGAATTCCAGAAATCAGAGCCTTGTGCAGAGTCTATGGCTACTTCAAAGTTCAAAATTAGTCATTCAGTGATTAAGACAATTGTTAATTCCACCAAGATAAGGTGAAATATCTGTTATTCATATTTTATTTATTTCTGTGAAAATGTTTTAACAATGCTTATGCATTTATTATATGTGGAAATTAAGGCAATTCAAATGTGTGGAGATTCTGATCAAGGTTGGTTCCATGTGATCCAAATTAGTGATCTGAGACTACTTAATTTACTGGATAACAAATACTTATGGAGTTATATTTTCAGATATCCATTCTTGCCGCCAAAAGTACGATTTCTTACAAAGATTTACCATCCCAATATTGACTCTGCTGGAAGAATTTGCTTGGACATTCTAAAACTACCTCCATCAGGAAGTTGGCGGCCAGCTCACAACCTGGCCAGTGTCCTAACCTCCATACGTCTTCTTATGGCTTCTCCAAACCCAAATGATCCGTTAATGACTGAAATTGTTAGTACCTGTACTGTGTTTTATTATTATGATAATGTCTAAAGTCTAATGTCTTACTATTTCAAAGTTTAAAGATTATTTTCTGGAGGGAGACCCTTGTGGATTCTTGATGCTATCTTCCTGAGATTGCTTTATACTAAATGGGCACATCGACAGTGGTTAGTTTTGTTTGGCCTACCGAGAACCAGAGCCAGAATGGGCCCTTTCACTGAGGCACAGAGAACAGGTGACAATCAAACACCTCACCAGTAAAATCCCAACCACTTGGGCTGGACGGTAGAGCGATGGTAGGGTCTCGCTTCATGCAGGTCGGCGTTAAATCCTAATCCTTTCCTCCTGTCCTCTCCCAAATCCTTATCCTGACCCCTTCCAAGTGCTATATAGTCGCAATGGCTTGGCACTTCCCCTGATAGTTCCCTTCCTTCACCAGAAAAAGCATCCAGAAAGTCTGCACAGCTTCACAGGCAACTGGAGGGTTTTCAAAAAAAGCAGCTTTGAAAAAGTATACAAACAACTACTGCAACCGAGTCACACAGAACAAGAGATTCACTCAAATGAGCTCGAAAGTCATTAGTACAGATTAACACCATCAGGCATCCTGGCTCTGCCTCTCGGGTGGCTCTCCAAGTTAGTCCTTTTCTTGCTGTTGGTATCACCACACCAACTTGTAGTATTTCCTCAAACCAGCTTGTAGGCAAGCCCCGAAGCTTCAACCCTTCCTTGGACTTGCTTGTTCTGTTGGGGCCATTTGCTTTGTTGTATTGTTTCCAATTTTAGTGGAAGCCTCAATGCATGTTATGATTTCTGCTTGTTGTGTGGGCTTGGCTCTTTGTGCATTTCATGCTACAAGTACTCAAAGTTTTCTTCCCTATGTGCCTGCTAACATTGCCCTTGCACAGCCAGAGTTTACTCTCTCTGGTGTGGTCACTGTCCATTAAGGCCACCCCACCGGGATGGGGGCTCTACCTTGGGCTGTTCAAGGGTTGCTTCCTTTGTTGGACACTTGGTTAGTGTTCTTTGCTTCCGTTGGGGCGCACTGGGGGTTTGTGTACTTGTTTACATGGCACCCCACGTTCACCACCCATAGCTAGGTGTTAGGCTATGGTTGGTGTCTGCTCATTTGGCGAGTGGCCTCAGTGCTTGGGAGGTTACCCACTTGGTTTTCCTTCAGGCCCTGGGAATTCCCTCCAGTCTCTCTCATAATCCTTATAGAGTGGCCCAGCAAGCCCAGTTTGGCTTTTTGCAAGTTTGAGGGGTGTTCATTATCTTTTCTATCTGATGATGATCATTCTTTCTACCCCCATCATACTACCTGTTAGGTCAGTGATGTTTACATTCCTGAGTCCTGTGAGGTCTGCTTTCAGCTAGTCTCTCTGTCTTGATGGATTCTGTTTCCCAGCTGGAGGCTTTCCAGGCAGCCCCCATTTTTAAGGGCTAAGTTTGCCCATGTGATGAACTTGTGGCGTATTGATCAGCTGGAAGCCGCTGAGTTGGCCCCTGTGGTGTTTAGGGACCCAGAATTGGAGGTGTTGATCACCTGGACTCGATCTACACTACCTCCTCCTTCTCTGGGGATGATCCCTTTCACTTCGGTGGTGGTGGTGGTAGTTTAGCCTTCCAGTCCTGCAGGGGTTTCGGGCTGCTCGCCTTCACAACTGCTTCCTTGCCCCAAGCTGCCTCCTTTGAAGGACATCTTCCTGTCTCAAGTGTTGTGCGAGGACTTAGGCTCTGCCCCGAGGCTTTTGTGGCAGGCTTCCAGGGTGAGTGGGAGCTCAAGGAGTGCCCTTGGGTGCCTTTCATCTCTGATTGGCTCTTGGTTCTTTCTTAAGGTTTTATGTTAGAGGGAATAAATTTTTCTTCTTCCCCTGTATGAGTTGGATCACTCAGTTGCTTCCCCTTGGGTTTGTTTCCAGGTCCCAGAAAAAGGATGAATCCTAGTTGTCCAGTGGAAGTTCCATCCTTCCGCACTGCACCTTCATATGGATTTGCTTTAGTACCTTCTGTGGATTTCAGACCTCTTTTCAATGATGGATCCTGCTTTTTTGAGTTTGGACCTATTTCCTCATTTTGGTTACAGTTAGAGGTCTTGGGCTGATCATGGCTGGCTGTCAACCCTCTTCTTTCCTGGCAGAAGGTGTGCTTCGTGTTTTGGGTGTTTATGGGTGGGGTCACAATTTATCCCCTTTCCCCTTCGGTCTTGCCTGTTTGCTCTTGCACTTGCAAAGGATGTGGGCAAGAGAACGCTCTACGTACAGCTGCCTATGATCTCCGGGGCTCTTATTGCAGATGACCATAGGGAACGTTCACACCTGGCTGTGGTTTTGCATGTCTGGAGCTTTGTGGAGGGGTTTGCCAAACATCTCTGTGAGGACGTAGTGTCGCCAGGATCCGCTCTGGATCGTGGCGACACTACACTAGCTCTGGTGGCCCTGGTGGCCTTGTTCAAGGCCACCAGGGCCTCTGCATCCAGATATATATCAGGTATATATATATATATATATATATATATATATATATATATATATATATATATACCTGAAATCCAAGTAAAATCGTGCTTCCCGAAAAGGTCGTGCCAGGGCTCAAGTCTCTGCTTGTCAAGGTGGGTCCTTGTTGCCAGTTTGAGCTGGTGCCTGCTACGGAGCCATATTCGTCTGGTTGGCTCACTCTGCGCGTAAGTCGGTTTCTCTGAAAGGCCATCGGTCCTTTCGTGGGTCACCCCGTTGACGAGATATTGGGGAGGGAGGATGGCTCTGTTTGCCCACGCCTGGTCCCATGCTTCGTGGGCAGTTCAGGTTGTGTCTTCCGGCCTCTCCTCCTTCGGGTGCTTCGGGGTTGGCGGGACAGGCTTCTTCCCCTTCACTTCGTCAGGTCATCTTGGAGTGGGTGTGGTTGAGACGACCTCGTCCCTCAAGTGGCTTTCCCACTTTTTTCCAGTGCCAAAACAGTACTGTGCAGATCTTTGGTTCATTCTGGATTGCTGGATTTTTTGTCCCTCCTTCAGGATGACCACTCTGTCCCAGGTCTGGTTTCTCTTGGAGCCATGTTCTTAGATGGTGTTTCTGGACCTCCGGGACGTGTATTTGGCATGTCCCAATTCATGCGGGGTTCAGGGACTGGTTAGATTTTGTGGTGGGGTGACATGTTTTCCGCTTTCATTGCTTTCCCTTCGGGCTGAATCTGGCACCTCCCGTTTTCACGCATCTTACCGGGTCATGGTGGCCCCTTTGCATCTGCTAGGCATTTGGGTTTTGGCCTTTCCCGACAACTGGTTGGTGTGGGCTCCCAGCCAGTCCGCTTGTCTGCTCGTCAGGGGTTTGGTTCTTTCACAGGTCGCCAGTTTCGGGTTCCTGGTAAACTGGCGGAAGTCCCATCTGATTCCATCTCGGGTTCGGACTTGGCTGAGCCTAATCAGGGAGTCCTGGACAGCATCCTTGTCTCTCCCTCCGGCAGCATTGCTCCGGTTGCAATCCAGTCGTCGGCTGTTTTTTAGGGCTGTTTCGTGGGTCACTTGGTGGTTGCTCGAGCAGTTGTGTGGGAATTTGAACTTTGCTTTGATCGTTTACCTGCTGGGTCAGGTTTGGCTCCGGCGTCTGTTCTGGTTCCTTCGGGGCCGTCCCTTCCACCGCTCTCGCGATCGCTGGGTTCGTCCCCCGGGTGCCTTGCATCAGTTGCTGCGTCTCCTGCATCCTCTTTGGATTTTTCGGGGTTCGGTGCCTTAGCACCATCTGTAGCCCTCGCTCGATGTGTTCACGGACGCCTTGTCTCTCGGCTGGGGCTTTGTTACCAGTGCTCACCAGGCCGGCCAGGGGCAGTGGGCTCCGGCTTTCCTTCGGGCCTACAGCACTGTGTGGGAGTTTGTGGCAAAGTGTCTGGCTTCATTCGGACTGCACTCTGTGGGTTCATTGCCTGAACAGTGGAGGGTCTCTGCGATCCTTGGTCCTTTGGGGTTGGTCGCTTCTAGTTTTTCTTCTGCTGAGTTTTCGGGGTTTAGCTCTCCATGTGGTTAATATCAGGGCCGTTTCCAACGTCTTGGCGGAAAGCCCTTTGCAGTTCATTCCCCGGTCCAAGGAATGGACACTCAACGCTGACTCTTCCAGTTGGCTATGCCGGACGTTTGGCCCCCCGAAGGTGGATTTCTCCGCCTCTTCCATTAAGTTTGATTGGTCTGGTACACTGCTGGTTCAGTTTTTTTTTTTGTTTATTATTATTCTTTTCTACCACAGACGTGGCCACACATTTACAATGCTAACCAGCATATATACATTTTCTTCTGTCCTCCATGGACAGGGTTAGAGAAGTGTTAAACATATAGTTCAAGGGTTTGTTGAACACTCAACCACAGAAGGTGATTCGGTGCTTTTAAAATGCTAAGCTAACCTACATACGTAAATACATAGATTCACAGATTTACGTATGCCCTACATAAAGTGTTTGATGTGTCTTTTACATAGTGTCATTAATGTACATTCACAAAGGTGAAATGTAATTCTGATCAGCTTCCATATATACTTTATACCCATACATATACATACACACAGTCTTTGTGAGATTTTTTTCTACGCCTACCTCCCTTAGGAGGTGGACTTCAAGTTTAAAGGTTGCACACGGCAGTTAAGCATGAGTCCAATAGAAAAAGGAAAAGCGGGAGCAAACCGCCAGCTCTCCACCACTAGGGTGAAAACCTGTCCAAATAGGCCGCTGGCTCCTCCTAGTTAAACAGGACGTTAAAACTAGTAAAGGGTAACCGACGGGTTCTCACAATCAAATATTTATATTTGATGTGGTGCTATGAATTGGAATTCGAATTCCCAAGAACAGCCGTCATATCAAGAGATCACATCAACATTCAGTCGTATAAAGCAGAACATGGGTGGAAAAGAATGGTTGGCATCAAAGACCGTTTTCTATAAAATAAACAATTTATTAATTAATAACAAGAGACTAAACTACTACACTATCGAGTTTACATTACGTTAATGTCCATCCAGTGGCACGAT